TCCGGTCCGCGAGGCCGGGGCGCTGTCCATGGTGCCGGCGCGCCGCGGGCTCCCTCACCGCTTGTAGTCGGAGGAGAAGATGCCGCCGCTCGCCGGGTCGTGGCCGTACTCGGGCTCCCCGGGGCCGGCGGAGCCGCCCTTGTCCTCGCCGTAGGCGGGGGCGGCCGACATGGGGCGGCCGGGGAGAGCGCTTCGCCGGGGCGGAGGCTGGGGCCGAGGAAGCGAGCGCAGGCCGGGCTCCGCAGAGGCCGCAACCTGCGCGAGCAGAGGCAGCGCGCGGATTTATCAATCAGGGCCGCGCGGCGAGGCTCTTAAAGGCACCGGCGCCTGAGGATCGGGGGGCGTGTCCGCGGAGGGGGCGGGGCTGCGCCCCAGGGGCTGGCCCCGCCCGCATCCCTCGGAAATCCCCGCCCCCTTCCCCCTCCCGGTGAGGGATCCTCCTGGCCTTTAGAGGGACCCAGATTCCGGGTCCGGGGGTGGGTGGAGGCCTCTGGACTGAGGGTGGGACAGCCTTCCGGGAGAGGCAGAGCGCCTTCCCTCACCCTCCCGACCACAGGGTCTCGGTGGAAGGGCCTCTAGGGGCTCCGGCTCATTCCAGACACAACCACGGATGCTCCCCCGCGCGGTGGAAGGAAAGCCGGGGACTGAAGAGGGGGCTGTGTTACAGTGCTGGGGGTCCTAGAGCGGGAAGGAGGCACAGCACCCAGAGACCCGCTTCAGAGACCAAAGACGCTCTCTCTCCCAGCTCCATCTTTCCTACAAAATCTGGGCCCCTTGGATGGTGTCTTGGTTTCTCCTGGACGTGACAGAATTTAAGGAGGTTTGGTCCATGGGAGGAGACTGCAGCAGGCTGCAGGCAGAGAAATGGAGACTGAATAGAAGGGATAGTGAACCCCGAATTCATCTTTGCAAAAACAGTTTAATGACCATTTCTGAAGCCCCCATGCACACTCAGGAGGACATAAGATCACACCTAGTCCACAGTCAAATTCATGTCCACCGACACCTAGGAAGGAAGGGAGAGAGGGAAGAGGCTGGGTTAAGGTCTGGTGTGACAGCCAGGACTCCTGGATCATGTGAGGCCTCCAGCTCAGTTTCCAAGGCCCGAAGTACCCCCAAGGAAAGACGGCCTGGATCTAGAGAGAAAGTAGTGACCAGGTTTTGGGAAAGGGGTGAGATCTAGTTGGGCCCGACTTTGGGGCATTGGGTTGGATAGCTGCGGTCTTTTGGCTGGGCTTGGAGGAGGAGGTGAGGAGGGCTTGACTTGGAGAGCCAGAGTTCATAGGCCTGAGTCTTGATCTATAGACTAGGATCCCAATGTCTCCAGAACCAGAATTTGTGGGCCTGGGTGTAAACGGACAGGGCACAGAAAGATGGCTCCCTAGGTAGGTTCCACTGGGGGAGTGGAATGGGGGTTAACAAGGACCAGGGCAGCGCCTGGGTTTGGAAGTTGGTAGGCCGAAGGAAATAGATGTGCTCAAGATCTGTGAGCTGGGGTCTTCCCGGAGTGGGCCCAAAAGAGTTTCAGAGAAGTGGAACGTCGAAGAGTTGGCAGGCCTAGTTTGCTTCTGGGTGCTTTGGGTTTGGCAGAGTAAAACGGATCTTGAGTTTGAGGAACAAGGCGGGGAGGGAAAGTAAGAATTTTGCAGCACATTGGTTAGCTGCATTTTGTTAACTGGCTCCGGAGGCGGAGGCGGGGTGGGGTCGCGCTTGGGTAACTGAGCCGCACCGAGCCAATAGGACTGCCATCTATTTGCAGGGGGTCCAGGGTGGGCCCGGGGCCGAGCAGACGCAGCACCAAGTGCACGCAGTTGCTGCGCGTGGGGTGATAGGGGGGCGGGTCCGCGTCCATGGCCTCGCGCGCACGGCGCTCCTGAGCCGCGCGGTCAACGACGCCACGTCTACGCAGCACGCACCAGAGCGAGCGGGAGCGCAGCCGCGGCGCTGCCCCTGTTCGGAGACAGTGCCTTCGCAGGAGCACAGAAACGCGCGAGGCCCTCGGCCGGCGACATTCCTGCCTGCAGGGATGGCCCAACAGGTGCAGATCAGAGCCGGGTTAGGTCCTGTGACCCTAGCCCCGTGATCCTGCTCCCAAATCTCCCAGGAGCTGGGAGATGGTGCCCAAGCGCCCTTCTTCAGAGACCCGCACCTCCAGACTGGGACCTGCAGTTTTCATTCTCGTGTGCCCCACCCACTGGTGGCGTAGGGCTGGGATGGGCAGCCTCTCTTCGCAGACTAGGGCCGGTGTCTCAGCCGGAGATGCTCACCTCCAAAGTGGATGATCTCCCCGTGGCCGCAGTCCACGCCTACGTGGGGCCCGCACCAGCGTCCAGTGGGGGACAACAGCCTGAACAGGAAGAGGTCTCCTGGCTCAGGCTCCTTGCGCTCCAGCTCCGCCGCCTCGAAGTGCTGACCCAGGAACGCCTCAGAGAGGAAGAACTTAATGGTGCTGACTGCCCCCGTCAGGACCTAAGAGGAAACAGGGACCCGACCCCTGGGCGTCTGCGCAGGCCGGGATGAAGGGCGAGCCAGTTCCTTCCCCTGGGCATCGGGTCAGCTGGGCCTCCCGGGGCTCAAGGAGACCTGGCCTGGGGCCAGGCTTCACTAGCCCACCCGTGCCTCCGTGTGCTGAACTCCAGAGGCCTGGACATCACGGATAAACCCTGCCCCGAGCCACCACTAAGAACCCCTCAGTTCCCAGCAACTGGGACCCCCTTCTCAGCCAACGTTTTCTTCTCATCCTGAATTCCAGCCTTCCCATTCTCTTCCCCCCACTCCCAGCACCCCTTCCTGAACCATCTCCCATCTTGCCATTCCCTGGAGGCAACACCGGGGACTTGCGTGTACCCGAGTTGAGCAGAGTCCTGAAGAAACAGAAACCTGAGTGACATCTGGACCCAAGGCAAGCATCTCCTCCCAAGACTGAGTGGACTAAGTCCCCTCCAACAGCCTCGGCAGCAAACATCTATTGAGCAGAGGCTTATGAGATGCTTAATACAATTCTACAAGAGAGGTACAGTATCCCTGTTTGCAGGTTAAGGAAACTGAGGCTGAGGTTCTCCATTGCCAGAGTGCACACAGCTCTGGGTCTGGCCACCTTTACCTCCCTTTCCTCTATAAGGAAGTAAGAAGCCCCTTTAGTTCAGGTTTGTCCTGTCACTGGGAACAGAGCGCTCTGGGTGGGGACTTGGAAAGATGGCCTCCTGGGCCGTGCCAGAGATGTGGTCGGAGACAGTGCCCCGGAAAGAAGGTGAAAATAGGGCCTGTTGAGCACTGACCAACCCCAGGCTGGCAGAGGACCTGGGAGAAAGAAGCGGCCCACCACCCCCGGGTCTCTGGGTATCTTTGATGGAAGGGAGGGGCTTGACTCCAGCGGATTTGACAGCAGATGTGCACATGAGGAGCGGGGCTGCCCAAGTCCGAGCGGCAGAGTGCTAACCACTGGGTGCCTGCGCCTCTCCCATCCCCGACACTCGTGTGGCCTTCCTGGCTCTCGTCTCCAGTCTCCTCTGCTTACTCCTGGTGAATCTTATTTTCCCAGACTGGAAGCTGTGGGAGACTCAGGTGACCAACTCATCCCAGTTTGCCTGGAACTTCCCAGGTTTTAAAATTGAAAGTTGCACATCCCGAACCCAGGAAAGCCTGGATGGTCGCCCCCTTCCATGTCCTTTGACTTAAGGAGACCACAGTCATGTGCACAGCCCTTTGGCCTTTGGTCATGCTCTCTGGCAATGCACCAAGTAGAGAGGGCACCTTGCTTCCTGCTTCCTCTCCCCCCCGCCTTTATCATTAGGCCAAGTCGTGGTCACAGCTATACCCTGGGCCTGTTGGGGCAGCAAGCATCCCACCTGGGGAGAAAAGCTGAGGACTTCTGCTCCAGTTACCTGGGATGTGAGTTCATCTAGAGAGAAAAAAAACACAAACCAGCTATCACCACCTGGCTGCTGAGGGGGGAGGGTTCTAGCCCTCGCCCCTCCACCTGTATTGCCCAGCGCTGTGCGCTCTGTGGTGGTGGGGGGCGGGGGGGGAGGGAACTGTCAATGCATGGCTGTGAATTTGTTTGCCCCTGAGTCCGCAGTCCTGGACACAGGACTGGGAGATCCAAATCCTGGCTGAGTCACTTGCCTACATGGGAAATCACATACACCACTTCCTCCCTGTGGGCCTCAACTTCCTCATTTGTGAACTGGGGCCAATAAGCTCCGAAGGCTGGGCATCACAGGCCCATTGTGAGACACTGAGAGCTCTTTGTGAGCGGGGCAAGGAGAGACGGGCAGTGTTTGTTGCTCTTTGGTCTCTCCTGCATGCAGAGTTAGGCATCAGGGGAAGAGGGGTGGGGAGAAGGCCTCTTGCCCAGCTCAGAGGAGAACAATGGGCCCTCAGAGGCTGGCTGCCTCCCTGTGACCCCTGCCCCAGAGCTCTACGGGAATCACCCAGCTGGAAAGGCCCTGGCAAGCTGGGCCCCACCCCCGACTCTCCCTCTGAAAGTTCCCAGTGGTGGTGGGAGTCGTGGGGCACTTTGGCCACCATCAGCCGGGCCCAGGAATTTGAGTCAGGGTCTGGATGAGGTGTCCCTTCAGATAGAGGATCTAGGTCTACATGAGGTGCTCCATCCATAATAATATCTATTGCCAAAAAACTGTGCTAGAGTCCCATTTGGTGCTGTTATCGTTCCCATTTTATGGACGGGGGAACCAAGGCTTGGAGAGATTACCAAGGTTACAGCTCATAGGTGGAGAAATTGGGATTCAACCCCAGACGGCCTGGCCTAGTGCCCTTGACCTTGACCACTGTACAGTACTGCCTCTCTCCTGCTGCCCCTGGACCCCCCCACCAGGAAGTACTGACCCCTTGTATCCTTCCTGACCTGGAGAAACAGCTGCCCCTCCCTTTGGCTTTCATTGAACCAAGCCACCATTTTCTTTGTAAGAAAGGACAAGCTGTGGGCACCTGGGTGGCTCAGTCGTTAGGCGTCTGCTTTCAGCTCAGGTCATGATCCCGGGGTCGGTCCTGGGATCGAGCCCCGCATCGGGCTCCCTGCTCCGTGGGAAGCCTGCTTCTCCCTCTCCCACTCCCCCTGCTTGTGTTCCCTCTCTCGCTGTGTCTCTGTCAAATAAAAAAATAAAATCTTTAAAAAAAAAAAAAAAGGAAAAGCTGTGAGCAGCACAGGACACAAATCACCTGTCTCTTGTCACTGTCCTGCCTACTCTACTCCACTGGGGCTCTGCTGGGGGCCTCAGCTTTTCCTCCTTTCACCCTAAGGCTTTTGGGGCTACAGAAT